ATGTGAGTGGAAGCTGGAGTCTTCCTTTCTATTTTTAGTGCTGGCGTCTGCTCTGAAGTGTAACATCGGGGTTGTGGAACACTTCTATGTTTGTTTTATTTTGTTAGAGATTACTTGAATGTTTCTCTAATTGATGTTGTTTATGATATGCTTTGAATAATCGACTTATCTGTTAATGTTTCCACTGCTAGTAATAAAGATGAAGTTTATACATGATGAATATTTTATGTGTTATTATTAATCATAATTTTAAAAGTATCATGTGTTATATATCAAATTGCATGAGTAGGTATTTGTTGAAAGTAGCATCCTAAATGCCTTATGTTTTAATTTTACTCTGATATTTTATTTAAATTACGCGGGGTTTTTAGGGTGTTATACCTATAGTTTGGATCCTTTCTGCTTATTTGTAAAGTTGTTCTCATGTGCTGAGAAGGTTTTGGAAAGATTTGAGCTCTTTTAGAGTGGTCAATCAAGGATCATTATGGTCAGCCCATAACACCTTCAATAGATGGTCCTTAATAATCCTTGTTATCATCTGTTACCATATGAATCTCCTTTAAGCCCCCATCACAAACTTGAACCTTGATCAAATTTATAGATTTTAAACCAATTTGTCAAGAAGCTGAACTTAAAGACTCATTATCCAAATTGATCTCAGCTTTGATCATGAATTTGGTGATTTAGGGTTAGTGTTTGTTTGTGATTTAAGATTTTTGTATGTGCTTCCCTTTATTAGGATTTGATTTGTTAATCTGGTACATTATGTTAGGGTTTAAGTTAATCTAGTTAGTTTAAGTTTGAGTTTATTATTATGTTTGTTAATCTGATACATTATGTTAAGGTTTGATTTGTTTCACTAACATATGCTTATAACTTTTATAATGTAAATTATGCTTCGGTTTTGAGTTTTTCCCTAACTTTAGTTTATTTTTTCTACATGGAAGCACTTTGAAATAAGCAGAAGCAAAATATGTGAGAATGCAGGGATTTGGATCTGGGAGCATGCAAATAGCAAGATTAATTATAAATCATCTTTGATATGTCTTTTTTATATTTCTTTTTAAGTATGCTTCATGCTTTTATAACCTTGATTTATGACTTATGTTGGACAGAAATTATGTTGGATAATGATGAGAATCTCTATTTATTAATAATAATTTTTTCTTGTTGTAGCTTATGTTGGATTTTTATTAACATATGATGAAACATTTGGAAGGAAGAACTATTTTGTTTATCATAATATATTATTGCATTTGTTTATATCTTTGATTTGTTGTTCTTGTTGTTGTTTATAGTTTTGATTTGTTTAATGTGGTTCTAAATCTTTTGAAGCTTTGAATTCTTAACATGTCTTAACTGGTTCAACCTAAGAGCCAATTGAAAGAGAAAGCGAAAGAAAGTCAGAAGCTTTAGTTTCAGATGATACTTAAGTTGGTTGGTAAGTTAAAAACAAATATCTCCTTTTTTATTAATTACATTAAAATAATTGTATTCATGATTAATGTATTACTTACTATTCATGGTTAATAATTTGTATTTTATAATTTTTGAAGGTTTTGATGTTGGATGAGCCTACTAGTGCATTAGATCCAATATCTACATAAAGTAGAAAAGTGGTGTAAAAAAAAACAGGTTTTAATTGTGCAGCAAATCAGGTTTGTTGTTAACACAAAAACAATGATATTATGATTTGTATATAAGAATCTTGAACTTTTTTCTCAAAACAACTTCAAGTTTCACCATGTTGAAGCATTGTCAACCTGCAGATTTCTTTTTTAAGAATGAAGAGACTTGAATGTGTTTGTTTTAAATATTGGGATGATTATAATTTATTTGTTTTTGTTTTTATGTTACTATTTATTTGAGTAACTTGCAATCGTTGATTACCTTTTTGATCATTTGATTTTATAGAATTTAAAATAATTCAAAGGAGAAATTGATGGATTTAAATATTAGAGATAATTTATTATTTATATTGGTTATGTTAGTATTGTAATTTCTTTTCTTATTAAATTTGTGATTTATGTTATGTAGAAATTTTAAGATAAAAATTTATTTCATTTTTAATGCTATTTATTTTTGTAATTGAATAATTTAATATTCAAATGTCATCTCAATTTCAAAAGGATTAAATTGCTTTAAATAATTATATTTTTTATAATAAAACTAAATCGTTTATTTATCACAATTTTTAAAAATAAAAAATAAAAAGTTAAGTTTTGGATATGAAATATTTATGGCCTAATAACAACAACAAAAATTAGAAAAATTTATTTGATATCCCTACCATTATTCTTACATTTTAAAAAATATTTTAATTCTACCCTTTTCAATTATTAAATAATAAAATTATTTAATATTTATTATTTTATGGTATGTATTATTTCTTCACCAAATAACTTGCAATCAAGTTTTTCGATATGTATTTTTTCTTCACCAAATAATTTGCAATCAAGTTTTTCAATGTATTTTTTCTTCACCAAATAACGTACAATCAAGTTTTCCGATATGTAATTTTTCTTCACAAAATAATTTGAAATCAAGTTTTCCTGTATGTATTTTTTCTTCATCAAATAACTTTCAATCAAGTTTTTCAATATGTAATTTTTATTCACCGCATTAACTTGCAATTAAGTTTTCCGGTATGTAATCTTTCTTCATCGAATAACTTGAGTTTAGCCAACAAGAAAAAAATTGTGGCCTAAAATAAATAAACTGTTTCCTAAAATACTAGGCAACAATTTTTTATGTGTGAGGTATATGATTTTTCATAAGTTGCAAAAAAAACCATATCTATTAGAATAGACCACAATTTTATTTACTTTTAGACAAAAAAAATTTCATTGTTGTCTAAACTCAAGTTATTCGATAAAGAAAAATTACATATCAGAAAACTTGATTGCAAGTTATTCGATGAATAAAAAATACATATCGGAAAACTTGATTGCAAGTTATTTGGTGAAGAAAAAAGACATACCGAAAAACTTGATTGCAAGATATCCGATGAAAAAAATTACATATCGGAAAACTTGATTGTAAGCTATTTGGTGAAGAAAAAATATATATCAAAAAACTTGATTACAAGTTATCTTGTGAAGAAAAATTACATGCGCAAAACTTGATTGCAAGTTATCTTGTGAAGAAAAATTACATACCGGAAAGTTTTGGACAAAGCTATTCGATACACTTTGGTAGAGGTGTGAAATGATAAATATTGAAAACTAAAATTATTTGATAAATGAAAATGGTAGAATTTGAATATTTTAAAAAATGTAATGGGTGTGAAAATGATTTTATTTACTTTAGGTCATGGTTTTTTCAACTTATGAAAAATTGTATATTCCACGCATGAAAAAATCGTTGCCTAGTACTTTAGGCAAATATCTTATTTACTTTAGGTCACATTTTTTCTTGTTGTTTAAATTCAAATTATTCGATGAAGAAAAATTACATACCGAAATACTTGATTGCAAGTTATCCAGTGAATAAAAATTATATACCGGAAAACTCGATTACTAGTTATCCGGTGAATAAAAAATATATATCGGAAAACTTGATTGCAAATTGTCCGGTGAAGAAAAATTACATACCGGAAAAGTTGATTGCAAGTTATTTGGTGAAAAAAATACATATCGAAAAACTTGATTGCAAGTTATTTAGTGGGGAAAAAAAATACATACTAAAAAATTTGATTGTAAGTTATTTGGTGAAGAAAAAATACATAACAAAAAATAATAAATATTAAATAATAAAATCATTTGACAAGTAAAAATAGGAGAGTTAAAATATTTTTAAAAATGTAGAAGCAGAGGAATAATGACAGGGGTATCAAGTAAATCTTTCAAAACAAAAAATTTAGTGTTTTGGGTTTAAAATAAAAAATCTGAGTATTTTAAAACGAACTTAAATTTTCAATTGATCCAACTATTCAAAGAAAATCAAATTTATTAACCAAACGCAAATTAAACTAAAATGAACTTGTCAAAATTTGAGTCTACATTTTTCATCGAAATTAAGAATGGATTGAGATTTGGATCTAAATCGACCTCCAAAATTAAAAACAGATTGAGGTTTTGGATCCAAACCGGCACGAACCGATACAGAGCCCTAACCATAACGAGACAAGCATGTCATCAACCAATAGAACACTCATTTTAAAACAATTTTTAAATGAGGTACTATTCCGTCAATTTTTTTTTAATTGTTATTTTTTTTACTTTCAGCGTCTATCAAAAAATCTAATAATTAATGTTACTTTTTATATTATAACTTTTCTTTTATATATAATAATTTTAATATATTTTTTTCTTTCTCCATAATAAAGTGTAGTTTTAACAAAACTATAATTATTACAACCTAAAATTTTAAAAACAATTTAAAAATATAATTTTTTTTATAAAAGAGACACTTAATAAGTAGAAACAGAGGGAATATAAAAGTTGTATATGTAAAATAAATAATACCAAACTCAATTAAATAAAATTAAATCTTCTAGTTTTGATTAAATATAAATGTGATAGGTAAGCACGTGACAACATGATTAAGGTTGTGGTTAAAATAAAAATTAATCATCTTTGCATCACAAACAAGACAAATAATAATTAGTGAGAAATTTTCACACAAAATAATAATTAGTGAGAAGTAAGAAAAGTGATTATTAAAATTAGAATTAGTACATCATAGGATTGTGGAAGTGGACCACAAAGCATATGATGGGAGCTAAGTGAGAGCAGTACAACATATGACAGACAACTCCATTGCTTGCTGCATCTTCTTCTTCACTTTCCTCTCTCTCTCTCTCTCTCTCTCTCTCTCTCTCTCTCTCTCTCTCTCTCTCTCTCTCAGTTGAAACACTGTCACCATTGCAACTTAAAGCTTCAACTTCAACCCCATAGATAAACGTACTTGCTTGCTTAAAGCATATAGAAGCACACAAATCAAGAAAATTATGTAAAGATTGCATTTTTGCTTCATCAACTACAACCCATTTATCAAATATGGATTATGAAAGGATTCAAAAGCCTCAGGTTACATTCTATCTATCTCACGTGCTCCGCCAATCCCTTTTGGTTTGATTTCTAGTTTTTTTTTTTTTAACATTTCACCCTTTTCACCAGCGTTCTGGAAACTGATATATCAATGTTAAAGTTGTTTACTTTTCTCGAGTTTGCTGCAAAGTGTAACACTTCTTTCTGATCTGTTTCTTTTGGGGTTCTTTCTTAATTTTGATTTTTTGTTTTTGGTCTTATTGGGAACTTGGGTTTGCAGGGTGGTGGAGGATTTTCACCAGGAAAATTGAGAAGCATGCTACTTGGTGTGGAGAAGAAGAGGAAACAAGAGGAAGAGCTTGATTCTAATTTCACCTCAAGATCTCAACATTCAGACATGGATGAATCTGGTATGTCTTTTCATGTGATTTTTGTTCTTGTTTCCTTGTAAATATAATGCTGCTCAGAAATAGTGAATCTTAGATGTTGTTGAGTTTCTTATAGTGTATTGATTTGTTTACATATACCATGATATTGAAATCAATGTCATATATGTGTGTGTGTGTTTGTTACTCACTTACCATAATAGAATGGTTGGTGTTTCCTATTTCGATTTCGGTAAGCTCACTTTTATTCGACGTATCTGTTTCAGGTGGCAGCGGTTCTGATCATTGTAAAGATGTAGATGTTGTGAGTGTCCATCCTGAATATTCATCTTCTAGCGATCCAACGTGTAGCGTAGAGGCAGATAGTGGTGATCGAATGGCAAAGGCTAATGCGGGATTAGCGACTTCAAGGAATAGAATTCTAGAGGACCCTTCTTTAGATTATGATAGCGGGTATGATAATATGATCATGTCACCATCAATGTTTGAATTTCAAAAGGCCGAGCGTGCCCCGCCGAGAGTACCCGTGGGGCCATTCTCAAAACCAGCACCATCTAAATGGGACGATGCGCAGAAGTGGATAGCGAGTCCGACGTCAAACAGGCCCAAGACTGCACAGAGTCAGGGGCAAGGTGGGCATGCAGTTCCGCGAAAGGTTGCTGGTCTTGGAAGCCGGCAACCTTCCATGAAAGTTGTCGTTGAAGTTCCAGATCAAAGAGAAATTAGCTTAGATGAACCGGATACAAAGCAAATCGATGCAAATCAAACTAAGATGGAAGGTGGAGGACAGAAGTTTGTGAATTGGGATGATGATCCTTATGCAATTGCAAATGCTTACGGTAAACTTTTAATTTTGGTTTAGAGTTTAGACTACTATACCTAGTTATCACTTGAACATACTCTTTATCTTTTCAAATTTTGATATCAGAGGTTAGTCTCAGCCAGCATAATTCATCTATTGCTGCCCAGAGTGCAACAACATTTGTTCCTCCTCCTTCAACGGCTCGATCTGTATCGATGAGAGATATGGGAACAGAAATGACACCTATTGCTAGCCAGGAGCCATCAAGAACAGGTACACCAGTAGGGGCAACGACACCGATGCTCAGTCCTAATTCTTCACGGCCTTCTACGCCCACCAGAGCCGCCCCTTCATCAACTTTGATCAATGACAATCTGAATCTTAACAAGAATGAGTTGTCTGAAAAGGAGCTACAAATGAAAACTAGACGAGAAATAATGGTCCTTGGGACGCAGCTAGGTAAAATGAACATTGCTGCTTGGGCTAGCAAAGAAGAAGAGGATAAAGATGCATCCACTTCACTGAAAACAAAAAATGCCGAACAACCAACAAAGAGTGTCGTTGAAGCACGTGCAGCAGCATGGGAGGAGGCCGAGAAGGCCAAATATATGGCCAGGTCAGTACTCTACTTATGTGAATGTTAGTCGTGAGCGAGTACATAATACACCTCTAGAAGATTGTACTTCCTACATAACTCCTTTTAATCATATTGTTGATGTCATTCTTCTAATAGGGATATAATTATGCAGATTTAGGCGCGAGGAGATGAAGATTCAAGCATGGGAAAATCACCAGAAAGCAAAAACAGAAGCCAAGATGAGAAAAATCGAGGTGTGCATTGTCTTTTAAAATACTAATTTTGTTGTTTCTGAAGTGTCCGTTTAATTTAGATTTTTGGTACAAACTTTGCATGTTAACTTCCAATCCTGATATGGAAAATGGTCCGGCAAGACTATCAATGCAAAACACGTATCTGTAATCATTTTAAGGAGGTGAATGATCGGGGCTGTCTTAAGTTTTCGGAATTTCTGTGTAGGTTAACCACAATTTAACTGTTACAAAACAAATAGGGGCCATATTTTACCACAATTTAAGCGTGACAAATATTTAGAGGTCTTATTTAACCACAGTTTAACTGTGTTAAATTTTGAGTTCTGTACGGTAGTCTGTCTTGCACGTCCTTCTTGTAAATGACTATATACCCTAAAACTCATCTGTTTGCAGGTAGAGGTTGAAAGAATAAGGAGTAAGTCACACGATATGCTGCTGAACAAATTAGCAGCTGCAAGGCACAGGGCGGAAGAAAAGCGAGCAGCAGCAGAAGCCAATAGAAACCATCAAGCTGCTAAAACTGAGGAGCAAGCAGAATACATCAGAAGAACTGGTCATGTACCTTCTTCATATTTTTCATTTTCTTTCTGCACTTGGTGCTCTTAAAGAGAACCTACCATTCCTTATTTATTGTTAATTCGTTTTTCTATAGGTGTTCATTTTCTATGCCCAAGCATGTTAAGTATATGCTTGTTGTATTTTCCTCATGCTCTAAAATGATAAATTTTCTGCATAAGAAATTATCAGTTGGAAAATTTTCTATTTGTTCAGTTTTGTATTCCATTTTTCCCCTGCAAACATAAATAAAGTTTAGTTTTTTTCTTGTTGAAAAAGCTATAAACAATTTTAAGGCCAATTTGTTATAGATTAAACTAAAACTAATTTTGATATGAATAATTCGGAGACCTTTTTAAGAAAAACATAAATTATGGTTTAAAATATATTCAAGTTGAAAACTTATGCATGTCAAAATAATTTTTCAATAGTTAATATAAACAGTGATATATAAATTTTGTTCCTCTTTTTCTTTAAAAAGTGATTCTTTTTAAAAGCTAATCAAAATAATTATTTTAATTTTAATATAAAACTAATTTTGAAAGAAACTTACACATAAATCAAAACTAAAAAAAATAAAATTAAAAAGACCTTTAAATTCCAAGGTGTATCCTAGATAAACAAAAAGTGCATTGGTAGTACACAAAAGTCAAGCCTAAAAAGCCTCAAACACCGTTGATATGTGCTATTTCCTATGTGTGGGCATATGGAGAAATCCATTTTCACTAGGTTTGAGTTTGAATTTAGATTTTTCCCATTTTAATAGATGGATGGTGGATACAAAGTCTCTATAATAAAAGATAGAGTTTTGGACAACATTAAGTTACATACTCTATAGTAAAAGATAGAGTTTTGGACAACATTAAGTTACATATTCTCACCAATTCTACATCCTCTAAATCCTGCAAAATCAATATGGAAAACATTAGTTTCTGTAAAATATGTAAAATATGAAAACTTTTCACTCACTTTTACATTATGTAAATCCTACAAATCAGCTCCACAATGAAGAGTTTGGTTGAGGAAGAAAGAAGGTGTTGTAAGGAAGAGAGTGAGGCTTTAACTAGAAGCTAAGAGTCAGAAAAACTGGAAGTAAATTGTTGAAGTCCCATGTTGATTTATCTATAAGTAACTTTAGCCATTATATAACCCACAGAAACACGTGGTAATAAATATTTGTTGATTGGAAAAATATTTATGGATAGACTAACGACTTACTTAGGTCCAGAAAATTTCTATAAAATTTTGACTTAATTAATAATATATCCAGAAATATTTTTAAATAAATTTAATTAAAATAATTAATTAATTTATTATATAATATAAAGAATATTAAATAACAAAGTTTTTTTTAGTATATGTCATTAATAAATAATATTTTATTTTAATCGTCATTGTCACATCTCTAAAATTAGAGGAGGACCAACTAAATTTCATAGAATGCAAAGTTGAGAGAGCAAAAGTTAGATTTTTAAATGAGAAAATAAAAGTTAAAAATCATTATATGTAGGGGATCAAAATGCATTTACGCATTTGAAATATTTGAATGGTATGTTAGAAAATTATTAAAATTGTTTTAACTTTTTTTTATTCCTAATGTTTGTTAGAGTTCGAGACAAATTATTTATTTGGGGGAAATTGACTATTTCAATTTAAATTTTTTTATTTCGACGCGGGGATAGGACGGGGAAGAAATACTCGAACCTATTTGGGACGAGTTTGTATTTATTATTTATCTATGTTTGATTTTGGAGTGGGGAACAAGTATTTACCTAGGACTCAGTTTTAGATACGGGTGTCATATCCCAAATTTTACTCCTAGATTCCATTATCATTTGCATAATATTCTAGGTCAATCATTCATGCATAGCTAACCAATTATCAAGGTATTGTTTTGTTTTGTTTTGTTTCATCTGTGAATTAGAGATTGCCTTAAAAGACTCAAGGGATTGATCAGTCAAGGTTTTGGATGAATCATCAATCAATCAAGTTCTCATACACCCGAGAGATACATCTCCATCAATAATCAAGTGCAATATGACTTCATTACAAGTTCATCAAAGATTCAAATTCATCTGGTCACAAATTAGGGTTTTTCAATCAAAGTCAACTGCATCTTTGACTTTTGATCAAGACATGATTCAAGACATTCAAATACACCCTTTGAGTCCACCCATGGTGTTCAAATAGCTCAAGAGATTGAATTTATTGAAGATCAAGAAATGGAAATTCATCTGATACACAAGCCATTCACTGCAAAGTCAAACTTCTCAAGATGAAATCCATTGGAAATACGTTTGATGATTAAATTTGATCAAGAAAATCAAGAGAATTGAGGTTACTTGCAAAAAGGGCAACAAAAGAGGAATTGAAGTTTTTCTAAGTTATGGAAGCACAATGATATTTGTCCAACTTGCCAAGGCCATAACTTCCAATCCAAACATCCATTTTCTTTGCTCCAAATAACAATTTAAATAGCTCATTCCATACTACAACCTTGCCCTTAAGGGTGAATTCTAAAAAAAAATGCATAAATTTCAAGTTATGAAGCCATGAAGTTGGAGGTTTATCACTTTTTGATTTTAGACACTTATAATTTTTTATATACAAATATGCCTTGTAAAAGTAGCTGACTTTAGGGCCATTTTTCATCATGATCCATTTTGATTCAAGGAAAACTCAAAACATGAAAATTTTAGAGCATGTTTCAAGCTTTGCAAAGAGTCAAAGAACTCATTTTTCCCATATTTGAGCTAGGAGATTCGAAGAGACAAAGTTAACCTTCTACACTTTATTTTAGGTCATTTTCATGACATGTTCTTGAATCAAATTCATATCAAACCTACTCAATCTTACTTTTAAGACCTTTTTGCTTCTAATTATATCCTTGATCAGAAGATTTCATGAGTTTTGTTAGCATTACACATTGATTTGAAGCATTAACCAAGTTTCAATTCCATTTATGGAGCATTTTGCAAAAAGCTCCATATCCATTTTCATAAAGGTCCACTTTTTCAACCACTCTTGCATTGAGAGTCTAACTTGTTTCTTCTGCAAAAGTAAGATCAAAAGGCTTCCAACCACTCTAGATAGCCTTTGTACTTTGCATTGGAACTATGAGAATCATGAAACCATCAAGTTGAAATCCAACCAAACCAAGAGAACCTCCAACTTGTAATTATGCATAATTAGATCCTCACCCTTTCCCTATAAATAGAGACTTATTCCTTGCTTCAAAACACACAAAAAAACCTCAGAAACACCCTTGAGCAAGCATTCAATCTCAACATCCTGCATCAAGACCTCCACTTTGAACCAAAAAACACCACATTTGAAAAAACATATCCAAAATTATTTCCATTCATAAAATCTCCAAACTAATTATCCAAACACATCATAAAACACCTCATAAAGGTGTTCAAGCCCTCATCTCCCCCAAAATACATCAGCTCCAAAAAGTCAACTATCAATCCACCATATAGTTGACTTTCTGCATTTTCCAAGCCAAACCTTCACATTGACTCTTTCCAACCAATCCAAACTTTCAAACACCTTCCACAAATCACCCTTGAATTGTTCCAAGTACTGGTTTGTGATTGCAACACTTTTTTCTTGTATTTCAAGTTTCACACTTTTCATTTTTGCAAGAGAGAAGGTACAAAAGGTTGGAAGTTGGTCCAAGTTATTCCAAGCATTCTAAAAGCACCAAGGGACTCCATTGAAGCCTTCTCAATCAAGAAATCATTTATGTAACAAGTTTGAAGGGGAATTAGACCTTGCTCTAATAGGTAAAGCTTTTCAACTCTGAAACTCATCATACAAGCATCTTTAGGTTTCATTTTTTGAAGCAAAAATGTAGCCTTTAATGTGTAGAATGTTTGCCCTAATTTTATTTTGTTCAATCATGTGTGTGTGTGTGTGTGTGTGTGTGTGTGTGTGTGAAGTTTCTCATCTCTGAACATCTAGGGTTCTTATTAGGTTCAGGCACGATATTTATTGTGTGTTGATATTTAACTAAATTGGATTGCACCATTAGAATCCTCTTGAAAAAGTAAACACTTTTCATTTTTACACCTTTGAAAAATATTAAGAAACAAGGAAGTTCAAAAATTCAAAATCTTGAAAATGGAGTTTTTGAGAGGAAGAAGAAGTTGGCGTCATAGTTCAATTCTTAGGTCATGACTTTAAAAATATTTTTATGGTCCCATTTTAATAATAGAAGTATCAACACTCCAGTTGTTTAGCTTGCGCGTTTGGAGCCTTTGTGACCTAGAGGACTAGGGTTCGAATCCCCCTCGCCCTAGTACTTTTGTTCTATTTTTTTGTTGCTATTTTCTAAACCAAGCTTTAAATATATATGCATGAAAGCGCTTATTGACTGAGCCAAGCAACTGTTCCAGTGGTAAAACCTTTTACCTTGAACATAGATGGTGCATGTTCAACCCCTTGGAGTAGCATTTCCATTATCTTTTGGCACTTGGTATTTTCATGTTTTTTCACAAATTCATTCAATCATAACTCTCAAACCACACATTATTTTGACTTAATTTTTTGGAAACTTGCACTTCACTATACCTATTTTATGAATATTTCAAGAAAATTCCAAAAATATATATTTTTCACTCATTTTTGTGTAGTTAAGTTAGGCACGTTTTTAGGGTTTATTAAGTCCTTAAATGAATTCTTTGACTTGTTCCTTGATTTTTCTTGGTCATGTTGACTTGTGTTAATATAATATATATTTTATGAACCTTGTGTGATGTTGATAACATGTTTCCTTGAGTTTTGCCTAAGTTTAAAGTACTTAATGCACACTTTTTCATGTTTAAATAACTTGTTTTTCCATGAATGATTGTGAAACTTTTCTCTTGACCTTGGCCATGATACTTGTTGATCTTGTCATACCTTGTTGAATTCTTGTGAGCATGTATGCCCTTATGTTTGTTTACCTTTGATTATGTGTTCATAAATGCCTTAAACTTTGGTAACATGTCTTTACATGATTCCTAACTTGTATGCTTACCATGTTCAAACCCTTGTGATGTTTTAAC